TCTCACAATATATCCCACCTACAATCTGCCTCTAAATAGTCTATATTCATCGAATCGCCATCGTTAGTGTATAACTCGCTCTGAAATCATTGAGTCTTCCTTTGATTTATTCCACTACCTGAAACGCTGCATTAGATAATGTGTTTATAACATATTTGCGCACAAATGTGTTTCAACCATTTCGAACAAATCAAATTCCCTTTAATCTACACCCAAACAAATCGATCCGTTAGGTAATTCCCAAATGGATCAATTCATTCTGGCATAGAGTAAAAGGAATTTGATTTGTTTTAACTAGCTGAACATTGTTGTGCAAGTCTAGCTCAGAATACATGGGGGTATTTATTGGGATTAATGGAGTTGTTTTTTTTTTTACATTATGTTAAATGAACGTTAAATTCTTTATAGACAAAAATGACAAAATATCATGTGGTCAAGCTATAATGGAATAGTAGCAACTCATTTACTCTGTTCTGTTTCAAAATATATTAATCATGCAACACATTTTTTTGAATTATATGCAAACTCTACATAAAGTAGCTTTCATCTTTTAGATATATATGTTTGGTCTACATAGAGTTAAGCTGCTTTTCTGTTAAAAGTAAGAACATCTATACCTCTGGAATCACACTATATAGCAAATGTATGTCAACAGATTCTTGCCAAACATCTTTTCAAAATTATGGGGTTTAAATTTTGAGTTGGTCCCTCCTTTGTCACTATAACATCTCCACTCTACTGAAAAAGATTTGCACTAGATCAGGGGTAGGCAACCTATGGCACTAGTGCCATGCACGGCACTCGAGGTGTCTTTGCACGGCACTCAAGGCCACTAGAGCCAAACAGGCTCTGTCCTATCAGGAGTCTCAGTGAAACTTCAACTATCTGTTAATACGAAGAGGTGGTGAAGGACAATCCTCAATTTATGCATTCCAGCACGTAGAGGAAGTGATCTCAGATCACTTCCTCCCAGCACTTGTGAATGGGAATCCACACTGTAGTAGAGCAGCTTGCAGCTGCTGTTGCAGCTCCTATACTTGAGTTATACCTGGCCAGCCTGGTCCCCACTGGAACCCAGGGAAGCCACCCACACTGCTAGATGTACACAGAAGTAACCCTCCCCTCATACATATAATACGAACAGCCCACACACAAACATACACACAATCCCCACAAAAGCAACACCACTAACTATCCACATACATGCACACAACCCCGAATGCAGCACCTCACATGCAATACCCCAAACAGCCCCCACACATACACACACACACACACACTACCAAACACACAAGGTGACATATCCATCCACACACAATTCCACAAGCAGCCCCCATACACAGCCAACATTCATATGTATCATACACAATACCACAAACTACTAATGAACATATACAATATAATAGCTCATATACGCACAAATACAACGATACAAAGCAATTACAGTACAAGTAACACAAGCAGAATACGGCAGCATACACACCTCAATTTAAAATAGGACCGGCACGCTACGGGACATCACAATCCTGTATCGGCACAGTGCTGCTAAAAGGTTGCCTACCCCTGCACTAGATGCTTGAACACAACTGCGGTGCTCTACCAGAAATTAAATTATCAAGGGTATGTAACATAAGGACCAGTTATGGAGTTAGCTTACGGTTGACAATTTGTCTCTGGCTTTGAATACATCCTAGACCGACATGGAATCGATGGGATAAGTGATAAGTAGGTTAATAGCAACAAAGAGCTATAGAGTGCAGTCGAGAATAGTAGAGAGGAATTAGAGTAGCATTCATCTTTTTGAAAATCTTAGAGTTTAGAAAATGAAACTCCTTAAGTCATCACAAACAATATGTGATCACACAATACATCTATTGGAGGTGTCTACCATTAGTTAACGCATATACTGTACTCTGATGAATGTTGTTAACCTGCTGTTTAAAGGTTAAGGTGATTTACACATTTTGAATGCTTCATTAATTTACAAGCTTGAAACAAAAAATACCACGGTGTTGTAAGCTATAAAACCATTCAAAAGAAAATCAATAAATACAACCAAATTTATTTCATGAAAAGTCAAGAACGGCCAATATCTGTTACAATACAATAAAAAGAAAATAATTGGCTCTTGAATTGCTTTTGGTAACCATCGGACAATATTCATTTTCTTTTCCCTGTGTTTAATGTTGGTGTATTCTTTATCTCAAAGTGAGGAGCAATATATCATCCTGTTTCAACATCTGCTAGAGTTCCCGTCTCGTCTAATATACCCATGTCCCAAAAGCTTTCTGCACCTGTTATTGCACCAAATGCTCATTATAAGACACAGTAACACACCACACCGTCCTTTCTGCTAGGAATTCAAGGTTAGCATAAGCAATAATTACCAGTAATAGAATTAGTTTAACTATTTCTTTTTTATTTATTTATCAAGGCAAACTGTTAACTTTGGAGAAATGGCCACAAACCTCCCTTTGGCTAATAATACCTAAAAATAAGCACTTTGCATCAGAATTGTTCTGGTTTTACCTTGCCAAAATACTTTGCAGTGCTGCTTCAGTGCATGGTTGTTGTTACTAAGGACTAAGGAAGATCAAAATATCAGAATCTTTCTCAATATGTTTGTGACTTTATTTAAACTGTGTGTAATTTGTTTAGTGCTTCATGCAGAGCAGTATTACAAATTAAACACAGTAAGGTACAAGATGCCATTATTACATTACAAGTTATGCCATTATTGCATCAATATACATATAATGTACCTAATGGGTTGGAGTTTGACCACATTACTAAGAAGTTGCAGGGCTTTCAGATCCCCTGTGTTGCTAGCCCTGTTTTCTGTTTAGATGGTTTAAATAACAGTCTTTGTAGGACGTCATGATCTCACAGGCAACATCCAGGTATACTGCCACCTATTTTGGGAAGCTTTTGAGCACTAAGTGCAGTCTTGACAGATGGCAAATCAGTGGCCTGCTCAAGTCGGCTGACAGTAGAGGAGCACTCACCTGCTTCACAAGCATCATTTTAGCATCCAGTCTACCCCCTAGGCTGGTGAGCGTTATCCCACCACCACCACCAGCCTGACTATATTAGGCAGATAAAGTTTGAATCACCACAAACTTCCAGGAATACAGGTCAAAATGGCTCTACAGTGAGGCATGCAGAAGAAGCATAGTCCAGAAGTCAAGTAGTTGACTACATACTAACGCCCTTGACCGTTTACTACTTGCCTTCTGGCAGAAGTACACCACCACTTATTTTTAAACAGTGGAATCCGTATTAAACCATTTATTTTCTTTTTCTGATCAGAATTGAGTTCATCGGGATGTTTGGGAAGAGAATATAAAACATACAAATCCTTTATAATGGCAATGTGTCTGGTGGAGAACTTCATGTTTTTATTTTCTTTTTATGTTATAATCTCTATACCATACTTTGTATATAATATTTATCACTAACTCGTAGTAAGCATTTCGGATGGTTTGTTTTAATAAATTAATTAGATAACATTGTTTGTATCAGTTCATTATGATTAGTGATGTACCGAACGGTTCGCCGGCGAACGGTTCCTGGCGAACATAGCATGTTCGCGTTCGCCACGGCGGGCAAACATATGCGCGGTTCGACCCGCCCCCTATTCGTCATCATTGAGTAAACTTTGACCCTGTACCTCACAGTCAGCAGACACATTCCAGCCAATTAGCAGCACAGCCTCCTAGCAGACCCTCCCACCTACTGGACAGCATCCATTTTAGATTCATTCTCAAGCTGCATGCTTAGTAAGAGGAGGGAAAGTGTAGCTGCTGTTCATAAGATAGGGAAAAGCATAGCTAGGTTAGGGATAAGGGTATGCTTTTTTTTATTTTTTTTTTCTATGTAATGTAAATGCACTTAGTTGTCTGCCACTGCTGCCAGCTTCTGTGTCAGGCTCACAGTGCCCATTTCCCCAGTCAGTGCCACCAATTACATCTGGTGTCACAATAGCTTGGATTTAAAAACAAAAAACTTTTTTCACTGTTATAGATTGAATAGCAGTCAGTTGTCTGCCACTGCTGCCAGCTTCTGTGTCAGGCTCACAGTGCATACTGTGCCCATTTCCCAGTCAGTGCCACCAATTACATCTGGTGTCACAATAGCTTGGATTTAAAAACAAAAAACTTTTTTCACTGTTATAGATTGAATAGCAGTCAGTTGTCTGCCACTGCTGCCAGCTTCTGTGTCAGGCTCACAGTGCATACTGTGCCCATTTCCCCAGTCAGTGCCACAAATTACATCTGGTGTCACAATAGCTTGGATTTAAAAACAAAAAACTTTTTTCACTGTTATAGATTGAATAGCAGTCAGTTGTCTGCCACTGCTGCCAGCTTCTGTGTCAGGCTCACAGTGCATACTGTGCCCATTTCCCCAGTCAGTGCCACCACTTACATCTGGTGTCACAATAGCTTGGATTTAAAAACAAAAAACTTTTTTACTGTTATAGATTGAATAGCAGTCAGTGTCCTTAAAGCGGGTGTGTTACGCTAACAGTGGATACGCTGACAAGTGCCACTAATTAGATCTGGTGTCACAATAGCTTGGATTTAAAAACAAAACTTTTTTTACTGTTATAGATTGAATAGCAGTCAGTGTCCTTAAAGCGGGTGTGTTACGCTAACAGTGGATACGCTGACAAGTGCCACTAATTAGATCTGGTGTCACAATAGCTTGGATTTAAAAAAAAAATAATCTTTTTTCACTGTTATAGATTGAATAGCAGTCAGTGTCCTTAAGCGGGTGTGTTACGCTAACAGTGGATACGCTGACCAGTGCCACTAATTAGATCTGGTGTCACAATAGCTTGGATTTAAAAAAAAATAAATCTTTTTTCACTGTTATAGATTGAATAGCAGTCAGTGTCCTTAAAGCGGGTGTGTTACGCTAACAGTGGATACGCTGACAAGTGCCACCAATTAGATCTGGTGACACAAAAGCTTGGATTTAAAAAAACAAAACACTTTTTTCACTGTTATAGATTGAATAGCAGTCAGTGTCCTTAAAGCGGGTGTGTTACGCTAACAGTGGATACGCTGACAAGTGCCACTAATTAGATCCTGTGTCACAATAGTTTGGATTTTAAAAAAATAATAATCTTTTTTCACTGTTATAGATTGAATAGCAGTCAGTGTCCTTAAAGCAGGTGTGTTACGCTAACAGTGGATACGCTGACAAGTGCCACTAATTAGATCTGGTGTCACAATAGCTTGGATTTAAAAAAACAAAAAACTTTTTTCACTGTTATAGATTGATTAGCAGTCAGTGTCCTTAAAGCGGGTGTGTTACGCTATCAGTGGATACGCTGACCAGTGCACTAATTAGATCTGGTGTCACAATAGCTTGGATTTAAAAAAAAACAACTCTTTTTTCACTGTTATAGATTGAATAGCAGTCAGTGTCCTTAAAGCGGGTGTGTTACGCTAACAGTGGATACGCTGACAAGTGCCACTAATTAGATCTGGTGTCACAATAGCTTGGATTTAAAAACAAAAAACTTTTTACTGTTATAGATTGAATAGCAGTCAGTGTCCTTAAAGCGGGTGTGTTACGCTAACAGTGGATACGCTGACAAGTGCCACTAATTAGATCCTGTGTCACAATAGCTTGGATTTAAAAACAAAAAACTTTTTTTACTGTTATAGATTGAATAGCGGTCAGTGTCCTTAAAGCGGGTGTGTTACGCTAACAGTGGATACGCTGACAAGTGCCACTAATTAGATCTGATGTCACAATAGTTTGGATTTAAAAAATAAATAATCTTTTTTCACTGTTATAGATTGAATAGCAGTCAGTGTCCTTAAAGCGGGTGTGTTACGCTAACAGTGGATACGCTGACAAGTGCCACTAATTAGATCCTGTGTCACAATAGTTTGGATTTAAAAAAAATAATAATCTTTTTTCACTGTACTAGATTGAATAGCAGTCAGTGTCCTTAAAGCGG